ACTTCAATAGTGATTGATGTGGGAGTTCCCAGCCCATTGTCGCTGGTGCCACCCCTGGCCTGGTTGTTCTGGGTTCTATAAGTGAGCAGGCTGAGCAAGTCATGTGGACAAGCCAGTGAACAGCACCATCCATGACCTCTGCATCTGTTCAGTCTTCGGGGCTGTTAACTCTTCGAGTTCCTGTCCTGACTTCCATCAATGATGGGCATTGCTGTGGCACAGGATGCCAAAGGAACCCTTTTCTCCCCAACTTTATCACTGGTCCTGATGTTTCACCACAGCAATAGGATCCCTAACATTACATCCACAATCTCACCTGTGCCCACCTTCTGTCCACCATGCCTTGTTGAAGTGTCATTTTGGAGCTGCCTCCTCTGTGTGTGTCTCTCTGATAACATCACTGCAGTCTGATATCGCTCCCTATTTTTCTGCTCCTGGACCCTGTTGATCAAAAATCCCTCTGTTCATTAGGCAGCTCCCCTATGCACTCCTGGGCAACCCATCCTCTGGAGAGGGATGCATGTCCAACGTGATTCAGATCATCTTTGTTAGGAGTCTATTTCTCTTTGTGGACACCCTCAGTTAGAGCCTCTGTCCCTCCATCACTGACTGCATCCCTCCCTGTGCCTTTGTTCCTATGCTATTGGAATCCTCCTGCTGGTGGGATGCTTCCAGGCTCCTCTCTAAGGCTCTCTCAGTGCCCCCATCCCTGTCCCACCTTATATTTTCCTTTCGTTTCCCTACGTTTTATAATAAGCAAAATGTGGGAATGTTAATGTTCAGGTATTATACCAGTCTGCCTCATGTTTCCCAGCAAGATGCACCTGTCAACACTCAGGCAAGGGCCTAGCCAGCCACGGTCATATGTCACTGCATCATGTGCTGTGTGACTGCTGTAAGGCTCTGGACACATGTGCCAATGCCACTTAAAAATGTTGTAACTTTAAAAGGCAGCATGAGAACAAAAGATGCCATGTGACAGAGCAAGCTCAGGTGTGGTTGGGATTTATTGGTGGAAAGTGATTGAGAATGTAAGAAGGGGGAGGGGAGGGGAGGACCAGCCTCTGGAGACGGGAGCAGAGGAAGAGAAAAGAGGGGCAGAGAAGCATACACACACACACACATACACACACACACACACACACACAGAGAGAGAGAGAGAGAGAGAGAGAGAGAGAGAGAGAGAGAGAGAGA